TGTGTTAAATGAAAATAAACAATATTTAAGTGTGTTTAGTTTAGATGTAATGTAAATAACAGATTACGAATTCCAATTTAAAAATGTAGAGAACCGATATAATATTTTTAACGAAAGATCCGATTTTACCGATATTCTATTATCAGTGATCACCAATATCATATCCGATTTACAATAACATAAAGGGATATATTTTTATAGTGAAAATAAACAAAAAAAAATATCAATAAAATTAAGGAAATGGGCTGTTACTATTCAAATTTATAATTTATAAAAATTCAATGATTTATTAACATATCATTATACAATAAATAGTTTTTCATTCACTTATTTTTATATGGATGCTATGGGCCCATTTAACGATATCGGCTGATATTTTATTTAAGAAATAAAATTTTGATGCCAAATTCAAAAAAATTTTACATGACAGAATTTAATTTTTATTAAGTTATATAATCATTTATATATAAATTAAATCTTAAAACAAAATTTTAACCCTCTTTTATAATTTAAGAAAGTTTTATGAGTATTTATTTTGTCTAGATATTACTTCAATCATGATTAGTCAATTTAAAGCTAGCGGGGCTTTATAAACCATACACGTCAATTATGGCAATTAATATGGAAAAATTTTTTTCAAAATCTTGGAAAGAAAATTTCATGGCTGTGCTTGATAGGTATTTATGATTTATGCTAAGAAATCATAATCAATCCTTTATCCTTATTTTTGTATGTCCAAAATGTTTATTAACCAAAATTAAATTTCAATTTTTGTATATAATTAGCTTCAATATAAAAGTATTATAATATTTTGATAAATTAACTTATAAATTTATTCTATACGTATCATTATTAAATAAAAAATACATTTCAATTTATTATAGCCTAAAAAACTAATGATTTAGGAAGGCCTACCCCGTTGTTAGGGCTTGTTGGGCAAAATTTCAACTTTTATAAAAAATAAAATTTAATATGATTAAATTTTTATAAATATTTGTAAGGCACCTTCCTTACATAGAATTTTAAAAATTATTTTTTTATGGTAATGACTGAAAATTTGGTTAAAAATTAACTACTCTCGCTAAAATATTTTAAGAATAAAATATAGGGGACAGACCAACCTCCCTATCACACCATCCCCGATCTCCTTTATAAATTTTTTTGGCAAATCATGATAAAATCAATGAGTAAAGTATACCTTTAGTAATATTTTTTTAGTAAACAAGATAGGTTTATTATCAAAATTTAGAAATATATTAATATTTACAATAAAGATCTTAATTCGTAAACGATATATCACTAAAAAATTATATTTGCATTTTTAGATTTGTATAATATTATTATTAGAAATATGTAAATTTAAAAAAAATATATGTACAAATATCGAGTTTATACCCCAAACCAACCCATATAAGGTATATTTGGAAGATATTTTGATGAATAAAATTTTGAGAAACTCATCGTACTATTTATTAACTGGAATTTTCATTTAATTTTTTTTAGAAAATTTTTGTTCATTTAAAAAACTTTTTTTTTTAAACAAGCAGTTTATAATGTATTAACTAAAACAAAAATATTGTTAGAAGTTTTTATTTTTTAAAAAAAATAATATTTTTAATATATTTTTTAATTTATTCAAACCTAAGGGAGGTGGCTCTAGCTACCTTTGAAATATAAAAATAAAATCTATCATCATAAAAAAAAAAGTAAAATAAATATAATATTATATTAAACAAAATAGTTATTTAAGGAATGATAAAAATTCAAAATAATTTTTTTTAAATGATCCAATAAAATATATTTTTATATAATTAATGATTAAAATAATTAAAAAATCCTTTATATATGAACAATATGAATTTAAAAAAATTTTATTAACCTCTTTCTAAAAATAGGTTTAAAATAAAAAATTAATAAAATCTAGTTTAAAATTAATTAATTTTTTTTGGATAAATTTTGATTATTCAAAATTCAGATATATACACATTATTTATAATCAGTGACTTACTTATTCAGGATTTCATCCGAGAACCTATACAAGGATGTCTTATGGCTGCGCTTCCCATTATAGTGAAATAATTTCAATATCACTTACACTTGGGTTTAAACTAAGCATAAATTTTGCTCCCAATTATCTAATTACAGTTCAATAAAATCAACTAAACTATGTATTTAATTTTACTTTACATTTTTATATACTATTTTTTGTACGATAAAATCCTAAACAGACATGCTTAAAGTAATGAATGACACGGTATAAAAATGCGCCATGAAAGCGAACTTATTTTATGTACAGGGGAGATCTAATGTTTCCTTCTGCTGAAAATGAAAAGAAGAGTCAAGGATAATGCTAAAAAACATAATTTATAAATAAAATGAATATAAAAGAGTTCAACATTTTGTTTTATGCAACATTTACATTTATGCTTCGAGACCCGTCTTATCCATATAATAATTATCAAAATTTTGTAAACAGATTTGTTTGATATAACAGCAAAAAAAATTGAAAAGCCCCCGACCGTCACTAGCTATTATTATTTAGGGGTACTAAAAAGTAAATGATAGGAAATTATATTTAATCACTCAGAGTTTTTTTTAAAGATTATAAATATTTTATATTGAAGGTGACCTTAAAATCTCGGAGAAAGGGGGATTCATGGCCTAATATTAAAATTATGTATAATAACCAAAATTCATTGTTTTTAAAATTCTTCACTAAAAAGAGAAAACTTTAAATTTAATGTGTAATAAAACAATCGAAATTTATCATATTTTTATCATTAAATAAAGTGTATATTATGATAATATAAATTTTAAAAAGGTAATATTAGTTTTTTTTAATCAAGTAAATTTTTTTTTAATAAACAAGCTATCTAGTATCAAGGATATATCGTTAAACAATGTTATTATTTTTTTTCAAAAAATTTAGTAAGATCTCTCAAGAATATTTTATTTTAAAAAAATATATTCATATTTATTGGTATAACATTAAAAAACGAATTATAATTTCCATATTAGGTGAAAGGAAAATTGGCAGTATCACATAGACCTATGCATTCTGATTAGTTATAAGCTGATATCTCATAATCCTTTGAGAAAACTCGCACAATATGAAGAGATTTTGTTGAACAGGAACAAAGTTTAACACTAATCATTAGCTAACTAATATAGTATTTTCTATCTAAATAGACAGAATAATGTAAACTTCTTAATTGTATATTTTTACTTTATTGTTAGTTAAGATTTAATTTGAGGATCTTAATTTTTCTTTCTTTTAAGCTTATCCAATATGTCATGTAAAAAAAGGGAATTATTATAAATGAGTGGTGTCTTTAGGATGGGGTACCACGTACTAAGGTAGGCCGATATGTAATAGCACGACAAATACTATATGAATTAACATTTATTTGCGAATGACTTGAGTTTAAAGAAAGTTGACTTTTTTGTAAATCCTAAATTACAAGAGTTACGGGATATCAACTCCTATTAATCATTCACATAAATTCTGCATAATTTTATATTTGTAAGTAGGTAAAGATATGAAAAAAATGATCAATTTCACGTTTGACTTTCTCTAATTGAAAACTTATTTTAAAAGTGCAAAACTATTTGAATAATTAAAAGGAATGCATTCCACTTACATTATTTATATCCATAATATTTTTTCCAATAATTGATCGATCTATTTATCTATTTCATTGTGAATTTTGTTTTCACAATAAATATATATAAGAGATATCAATAAAAAATAAAATAAAAAGGTAAAGTATATAATTCAAACATTTTATGTTCCTTTTCAAGAGTATAATAAAACAAAACAGATGATGATGAATGTTACTAGAGGTTAAATAACTAATAGTTTTTAAAAAAATGATAATAAGTTTGGATTTTTTTAAAATTACACCAGGGTATTCGACAAGTGAGGTAATAATGGGCTTAGTGTATGCTAAAATTTAATTTGATTATGCTTAAAATATTTATTTGGAGTAAAGTATTTTTTATATATACGCCTTATACACATAAGTGAAGTGGTTATAACTAGAAAAATGATAACTTATTTAGCGAGAGGTCACCTTTTAATAATTTGACATATTTTTATGTTGTCTTTATACATAAAAGCTTGATTAGTTTGAACTGTTTAAAAAATACATGATCACATCACCTTACCGCTGAAATAAATTTCAATTTAAGTTTTATAAGAGGAGCTAGAGTGTGGCGACTATGTTATAATAACTTTTAAGAAGTTCCTAATACAAAAAGGATCTATTTCAATAAAAAAATTATACGGTTAGCAACCTTTCACAATTATTATACATACTGCATTATATATAAATAAATGATAGCTTTGTAATTAGGTGTGAATATAATTGTAAAAAGAGGATAAATACATAATAATAAATATTAATTTAGACACTGATACAAATACTATACAATATAAACATTTATAAATCGTTTATAGAAGTTGTAAATTAGAAGATTTATGGAACTAAGAAATCAATACAATACAAAACAGGAATGATGTTACATGTTATCATTTAAAAATAAAATTTGATTAGTTTTATTAATTTATTGGCTGAATTCATTAAAGTTTAATAGTATAATCTACCTCAAATTGGGTCGAATAATAAATTAAGTCGGAATGGATTTTTTTTAATATTAAAAAAATTATTAAATTATGAAAAATCTAAGTTAGTATCACAATTCACGACAATTTTTGTAATATAGGCTTATGGAGAAGATAATTTAATTCAAAAAATATTTAATCTTTTTTAAAAATAATTATCTCATATCAATTATACAGGAGGTGAATTAAAAAAACACATGCCATCTAGTTAACACTTATGAGAATGATATATTTCAATAAAGAGGAATTTTTGGAGTTTTTTTAATGTAAATGGAATGGAAGAGAAAACGAAGAATATTTTGACTCAGAAATATAGCCCTTTTAATCAGGCCCCGATTTATAAAATTAAACATAAAAAAATAAAAATATTTTATACTTTTATGGGATCAGAATTGTGCTTATCAAATGCATAAGCATTCAGAATATATTGGTACTTTTTATTGAATGACCGGTGAAAAATAAATTTTTTTCCCAATAAATTATCAATTGTAATGTGGCATTGGCTGAACCCGATAAAATCATTGATATGGAACTAGATATTTTTTGCAATTATCATTCAGGATTATTTAAAAAAATGATTAAAGAATATAAAGATAAACCTTTTATTTAAATTATGATGATTATAAAAAAAATTACAACAAAAAAAAATGTTAGAAAAAATTTATGAGGAGTTCGGTGTATAATTTATAAATCACTAGGAGTTTCATTATCTTTGGTATACCGAGGATATAATATTTTTCGATATTTATTTAATAATTTTTTAGATATACAATTTTATTTAAATCATACAAATTTGGTGATAAAAATAATATATAAATGTAATTTATAATTTTATTATATAAAAATAAAATAAATAAAAATTAAAAGAAAATTATATTTATTCAAATAAACATAAAAAAGGAAATTTATTTTATAGTGTCATATTAAATATTAAAGAAAACTTGTGTAATTTATCATTTTAAAAGGGGAGAAAATAATTTTTTTACCTGTAAAATGTCGCGTAAATAAAGGTATTCGGTTACCTTTGCATGAATTTCTCTTTTTATGCATAAGTTAATAAAATATACAAAATTAAAAAATAATATATATATAGCATATAAAAATATTTATAATTTTAAATTTAAAATATATTTTGTATTATTTTTTTTTTCAAATAAATGTGTGTCGATCGAATTTATTGTATAATTTATTTTTTTCCAAAAATGAAAAAAAACCCATCTTTATTTTGTTATTGAAATTGACAAAAATATAATTTTTAGACATAATGTCTACTGGATCAAATACATCATGCTTTGTCTTCCTTATAGTATCCCGTTGTTGCGATATGAGCTTCTTGAAATGACCTTTTTATTGTTTATTTTTTGGTATTTATAGGGAAGAATTTAAACTAGGTTTAAGTATCATTACACACACTCTTAAGTGAGCCTAATCTAAAGGCGACCTATAATAATCATCCTTAATGTAGATAAATATTTTACAAAATGAATTCTAGTTCATAAGTTTTTTTGCCATAATATCCATCTTCTTGTTCTTCATTTAGTCCATGCTGGGGCAAATTGCCCTTGAAATTGAAGGCGGGGGAGGGGTGGGGTTAGGGAATAGTTTTGATTTAGATTTTCAGGTAATTCTATCTAAAATGAGCAAAAAAAGAAAATTTTATATTAAAAAAAGTAATTCTACCCAACATTTGCAAAAGGCCTTAAAGGGGAAGGGGATGCCAGAAAAATTTTAATGAAACTATATCTAAAAGAATCAATATTTCCAGGGCGCTCTCCATAATTTCCAGGTGACTTGAGTCCCTATGTGATTCCTCCTAAGATGATACTGATAGGGGGCGAAAGGTAAGGAGTATAAAGGGGGGAAGAAGTCCTTGCATTTTTAGGCAAAATATTTTAGTATTATATTTAAATTATTATATTTAAAATTGTTTATTTAACTATTTAATTAAATATATTTGTTTATATTAAATTATGAAAGATGATGATTGTCATGATTTAGTTAGACATATTACCGGGAAACATTTAAATATAAACAAAAATTATGCATGTAAATATTTTCAGAAAAAAAATAGTTCAAATAAGATATGAAACATGAAAATGAAATGATGGTATATCCCCTTACTCCTCAATACAATGTCTTAGAGCAGTTAATGGCTCAGAATTTATGTAATATAAAATCATTTTAAATTAATAAAAAATTGCACAAGGGGGCAAAAATATTTTAATAAGTGCAAATAAAGGTTAATGATATTTTCTTTTAATATAAATGTAATGTAATAATAATATGAACTTGTATTTTATAAGCATATCTTATAATCTGATTATTTTGATATTTTAAAATTGATGTAATCCTATTTTATAATACAGAATGAGGTACATATAAAATGACATTAATATATTAAAATCCCTTATAATATTTTGTATGAGTTTCAAGCCAAATGTATCCAGAGCTCTTAAATAATAATACCTACTTAATGTTAGTACCTACCAGCGTTTCTATAACATCCTAAATCACTGCCACTTTTCCCTCTATTAAATCTACTTTCCCTTTAACATTTTTTCCCAACGCCCCTCCTCAAAATTAATTTCATCTAAACCTAAAATGATTATGCTTGATTCAAGCAAAGTATGGTTAATAGGGATTTACTTGTTTCAAAAGGTAACGAAGAACGAATAACGAATAACGCGTTTTATTGAGTAGCATTAGCGCAAAACGTTACTCTAAATTATTTCTTAAAAAATATGGAAAAATTATATTTTATTATATATTTTTTAAATTTTATCAACAATTTAAGCCGAGTTGTTAATTCATATAAACCACCAAGGATCTTCATTTTTATTTTATTTTTTACATTTTGGTTGTTCAATTTTGTATAGTCAAGATTGTTAGTCTAATTAATATTAAAAAATCAAGAATTTACATCCTCTAATATTATAATTTATTTTATAAAGAATATAAGTCAGTAGTTGGGGTGACCAGGGATGGTTGGGACACTTTGCGTTCGAACATGAATAAATTAAATAATATTAGATTAATCTAAATAAAATAAAACATTACCTGAATCCTAAAAGTATAGGCGTATAGGCTATGTGAAATAGTTAATTTATATTTTATAAAAATGATACTTTTTTAGGAAATTGAATTTAACTTTTTTTTGGCCCAATCATGTCATACTCTGAGTACGACACCTATATGCGATAATTGGTCCGCACATAAAATTGAGGTCGAAATACAAATTTTTAAAAAAATATTATTATAATACTAAAGTCTTTAAAGTATATAAATTTATTGATAATATCATAATACGCAATAATTTTAAATTGAATTTAGATTTTGAGAAATTTTAGGTATTTTTGTAAAAAAACTAAAAAATATATCTTAGATTAATATATATTCATAGAATAATTTGCATTTGTTTATATCAAAATAAATAATAAATATGCAATAATTAAAAGGACTAACTATATGACTAAGACCTAGCCCACTAACTTTATAAACATTCAGAACCATATTAATTTATGCTTTATGATTCTGAAAAATTGTCAAATTAAAAAATAGGGTTTAAACTTTTCTATAATTTATTTATATATTAAAAGCTTAAAATTATTTTTTGTTACTTTTGGTATGCTAAAACATATTTTCCTCTGTGAATTATGATAATTGAATCATAAAGATAAAGTTATTAAAAAACATAATGCAATTTGCCAATAAAGATAAAGCAAAATCAAGTAATGTATTATATTGTAGCATAGAATTAAGATTAAGATGTAGAGTGTTGCAATTGTGGCTCCCCTGAGAATTTTACTGAAGTGGGACTGCGTCTAGCTCTTATCCTTATAAAATCAATATTACTGACAATCCTCTGCCTACTCCCATCGTGGTAGAAGTAACTGGTTCCCTACTCTTAAGAAATTAGAGGCTCTATTTTAAGGGTAACCTTTCTATATACCTCCGTCAATAATTGCCTCCCTTGTGGCTTTGGTCCATCCATATTTTAACCGATACCACAAACAATATAAATATAATTCGAAAAAAAATTATATTTATATAACTCAAAAGACGTCTATTCTATATTATCCAACCTTCTGATTGCTATATTGTTTTTAATTCCTGTTTGCAAAAATTCCATGATTACTGCTTTTGCTTCATATTTTCATGTATAATATGTACCATGAACAATCAGAGTGAAGGATTTATTAGCTTATATTTAGAAAGATCTATTGTTAGCCCGATCTGTTCTTTCATAATGGTTAGAGTCCTAAGAACAGCATATCTTAGCGCTACCCGCTCCAACTTTTTTATTATAATAGTTTAATAAAATGTGAGAATTTTTCACGAAAGTTTTACATAGATAAAGATGTTAATTTCCATTTTAAAATCAACCAGATATTTAACTCGACCCCTCAGATTTATTTTAAAATTTTGTATGATGATAATATAACACTATAAGTTAAGAAATTTAATACAATTCTTGACCCTGCTTATTCCAGATATATTGGCTGCTAAGAAAACGAAAAACTGACAAAGTGCATTTTATTTACTATCAAATATCTCTAGCATATATATTAAGCTAGAACTATGATTTAAATTTTATTACTTAATAATTCTTTATTATGAAAAAACTAGAATTAAAGAGAAAAACGAATATTTCTGAATGAGTCATTATAAATATCAAATTTATAATTATGTAATAAATTTTAAAAAATCCATATTTATTTTCGGAAGGTTCCGGAACTGTCCCGGCACCTTCAGAATCAACGCTTTAGTTCCAACCTCTTTCCGTATTTAAGTTCCGTTCCTTTAATGTGCCGGAATGTTCCGCTCCATGTACCAGATTTAAACAAGGATTGAAGATAGAGAGGAAAGTAGGTAGCATTATTGAAATATAATACATATAAATAAAATAGGGTTCTTATTTAAAAAAATTTTTTTTCTTCTTTGTTTTGTTCTTAGATAAGATATAATAATTCAATATATTTTAGCCTCCAAATTTGACAATGGAGGCGATAGCCACTGTCTTTATGAAATTGGCTCCCACGCTCAATTATATTTCCTTTCAATTATATTTTATGTAAAGCGGTCATGTCCAATTGCAGATTCAACAAAGAAAAACGCATCCTGCAACACTCAATGCTTAATAAGTAATATTCTAATTAGCATATACATTTGAACCCAAGCTCAATACAGCAGCAGAAGATTATCATTCAAGGAAGATAAAGAATTAACCTGAGATTCTACATGTAATGACGCCTTTGTGACAAGTAATTTATTTTGAAACTAATTTAATTTTCAGGGTGGTTAAAAGGACCCAGAAGAGATAAAATTTAAAAAAAGGATCGTACTTGAATATTTTTTTTTCTTAAATAACAAAACGCCTAAGATAAATTTTGTTTTTAAAAATGTCTTTTAATGATATATGTGCATTTATCAGAGTTATTAAAACATCTATATATACTGATCTATAAGAGATATATCTTTATTCATTCTAGATATTTTATAGAATAGCTGAATTTAAGAACAAGCGATAAATTTTACAAAACATTTTTTATATTTAATTTATAAAGTATTTGTGGGGTTTATTTTCCTACAATTAAAATAAAGAAAACCAAGCATAAATTTTACATAATGAATGACAATCTCGTGTGAAAAATTATAAATCTAACT